TGGCTCAGTTGGTTAAGCGACTGCCTTCGGCTCAGGTCATGATCCTGGAGTCCCGGGATCGAGTCCCACATCGGGCTCCCTGCTCGGCAGGGAGTCTGCTTCTCCCTCTGACCATCTTCCCTCTCGTGCTCTCTATCTCTCATTCTCTCTCTCTCAAATAAATAAATAAAATCTTTAAAAAAAAATACTTTTAAAGAAGTCATTGCAGCAGGGCCCCTAGAGTCTTACTGACTCGGAGTGCTGGGGCCCGTGTCCACTTCTTATTGACACATGGGCTTTCTTCCAAACCACAGACCTCCGTGCACAGAGCAGAAGTGCTGAGGAACTAATACACATAGGAGCATCTTTCCACCCTGACTGCTAACATAGAACTATTCTAGCTTCCTCTCCTCTTGGATGAAATAATTCTGAGGTGTGTGTACTACACTGTTTCCTGGAACTCCCCAACATAATTAAGACCCAGATGCCCACCATGGTAACATTCCTTTTTTTTTTTTTAAGATTATTCATTTATTTATTTGAGAGAGAGGGAGAGAGAGAGCATGAGTGCAGGGAGGCAGAGGGAGAAGGAGAAGCAGACACCCCGCTGAGCAGGGAGCCCAACGTAGGGCTCCATCCCAGAACCCTGAGATCATGACTCCAGCCAAAGGCAGAGGCTTGACCGACTGAGCCACCCAAGGGTCCCAAACAAATTCTCTTAGGCTCCCTATGGGAAATAGTCTGTAGGAGACAAGGGCAAAGGGCAGAAACAAGGAAACCACTTCGCGGGCTATCACAGTAGTGTTGGATGAGATGAAGGTGGCCTGGGCTAGAGCTGTAGCAGGGGAAGTGGATATGAGACATTTTGGAGTTAGAGCTGACAGGACTTGCTGACAGATTGTAGAGGTTGAGGGAGAGGGAAAAAAAAAAAAGACTCCTCCATTTCTCCTAGTGTTGGGAGGATGGTTGGGTCATTTACTGAGATGGTCTAGACTGGGAAGGAACAGGTTTTGGGTGAGGATGTGAGTATGGAAATGAAGAGTTGTGTATTAAGTTAGAGTCAGTCATTAGATACCCAAGAGGAGGTGCCCCTTATGCAACCGAACCATGGGTCTGTACCTCCCACCCCCGGGGGCTGGGGGGGGTCCAGGCTGGAACAGGGAATGGGAAGTCTTTAACCTATAGCGCAGCGCTGTCCAGTAGAAAGAGGACGTGGGCCACGTATGCCACTTAAAATTCCCCAGTAGCCACATTAAAAAAGTAAAAAGAAAGAGGTGAAACCAATTTAAATTATATTCATTTAACCCAGTATATCCTAAATATTGTTTCAACACGTAATCAATATAAACATGATTGATGAGCCATTCCGCACTCTTTCTTCGACGTGCGGTGTGTATTTTACATTTAAAGCACATTAATTCGCACTCACTCCTTCCCAAGCACTCGGTTGCCACAGGACGGCTAAGGGCGACCACTCAGGTCAGCGTAGCAGCGGTTTCACAAAGCCGGGAACCGGTACTCACCCGGACCGTAGTGGGAGAAGCACTTCCGCTGGGACGTCCCGGACGGAAGTCGTGGCCGAACGGAAGTCGCTCGTGTGCCCGCTCGGCGGCGGAACGCTGAGGCGGGATCTCGGCTGGCTGAGGCGGGCTTCCGTTGCCGGATGCTGGGCGCTTGGGCTGCGGGAGGTGAGCGGCGCGGCGGGCGGAGGCGGTCCGTGCCTGGGGCCGGAGGGCGGCGGAGGCCCGCAAGTGCTTGGTGTTGAACGGGAGGATGACGCGGGCCCTGGAGTCATTCTGTCGGGGTTCGCGCCCCAGCCCCGCTGCCTACTCGTCTATGACCTTGGGCACGTCACCCGCCTTGTTCTCCCCGAGCCTAAGCCTCGTCACCCTTCAAGTGGGGGTGATAGAACCTGCTTGACGATATTGCCGTGAGGATTAAATACCGTAATCCAGGGCGCCTGGGTGGTTCAGTCGTTAAGCGTCTGCCTTCAGCTGGGGTCATGGTCCCAGGGTCCTGGGATCGAGTCTGCCTCGGGCTCCCCGCTCAGCGGGAAGCCTGCTTCTCCCTCTCCCACTCCCCATGCTTGTGTTCCCTCTCTCGCTGTCTCTCTCTCTCTGTTGAAAAATAAATAAAATCTTAAAAAAAAAAAATACCGTAATCCATGAGAAGCGCTAATCATCGCGTCTGAAGCATTGTAGCCACCCCAACAACATGTTTGGGATGTTTTATCGCTTAGGTTTACTTCTGTTGAGATGAGGCTGCTATCTCGTCGGTGTTGCGGACTACCAAGTTTTGAGGCCCCCCCCCCCCCGTAGCGCCTACGTTGTGCAATACAAACATTTTATTTGCATTATCACATTTGGTCCTCACAGCAGACACACAGATAGGTACTATACCCGTTTTACTTATGGAGAAATGGAAGCTCCCCGAATTTAAGAAGCTCCCCAGGTGCCCAGGGTTACCTGGCTAGGCAGCAGTTGGGGCCGACTGGGACTCCAGAGTCCATGCTCTTTTTTTTTTTTTTTTAATTTTATTTATTTATTTGAGAGAGAGAATGAGAGCACAAGAGGGAAGAGGGTCAGAGAGAGAAGCAGACTCCCTGCTGAGCAGGGAGCCCGAGTGGGACTCGATCCTGGGACTCCAGGATCATGACCTGAGCCGAAGGCAGTCGCTTAACCAACTGAGCCACCCAGGCACCCCAGAGTCCATGCTCTTAACAGGAGTGCTCTATGTCACCCATGAAAGGGAGTGCGGGCTGCAAGTGTGCAGTTACTGAAGACTTAGTGTATGCCACGTTGGGTTTTTAATATCTTCTTTAATTCTCACAGTGCCTCTGGGACATAGGTACTAGCTTTATCTTTATTTTACAGATGTGGAATTGGCAGCTCAGAGATAGGAATTTGACTTGCAAGCAAGGAGCAGAAAAGCGTGACTTAATTAATTAATTAATGGTTCTATTTATTTATTTGACAGAAAGAGACACAGCGAGAGAGGGAACACAGGCAGGGGGAGTGGGAGGGGGAGAAGTAGGCTTCCCGCGGAGCGGGGAACCATATGCGGAGTTGGATCCCAGGACCCTGGGATCATGACCTGAGCTGAAGGCAGACGCTTAACGACTGAGCCACCCAGGTGCCCGGAAAAGGGTGACTTTACAGCTCACATTTAAAGGTCTGCTCTTCTCTGATACTTGAATGTAGGTTAGCATTGCTCTTGCCTAAAGTGCTGGTAGCATATACAGCAGGTGATCAAATTAGAGAGGTAAAAGGCTACATCTGCTCATTTTACATGTACAGCACTTACTATGAGCCAGTTACTGAATGAGAAATGCTGAAGATGTAGAAATGGATGAGATTTATTCCCTGCTTTTAGGGACCTCCCAGTCTGTAAGGGATGGCAGAAGTGTAAGTAATTAACAGCCAAGTGTGATGAGTCTTGAGATGGGGATTAGAAGGAGGCTTTGGGAACCTACAGGAGGACCCAGCCTAGACTTTGAGAATGGCGGCCGGGACAGGCTTCTAGGAGGAAGCAGAGACCTGAAAGCATAGGAGTTGGCTGAGTCAGAGAGAAGATACACCGGCCAGAGAGAACAGAGCGTATACAAGCCTAGAAGCTAGTGAAGATCAGTACAAAAATGGTATGACTGGAATGGGGCAGTCAGGCTGGAGATCCTGAGGTCCGTTAAGGATGTGTGGCGGGAAGTGTGTCTCCATCTCTTGTACTTTGAGTCACCTAGGTTCCTTCCTGGGAGGTAACCGTTTCTAGAGAGTATGTACATTAATATTCCTGTGCTCCTTCTCCTGCAGATTAAAGTGTAGCATACTGTAGATATTATTGGGCACTTTGCTTCCTTGTTTTTGTCATGTATGGATACTTACTTTTTTTTTTTTTTTAAAGGTTTTATTTATTTGACAGAGAGAGACACAGCGAGAGAGGGAACACAAGCAGGGGGAGTGGGAGAGGGAGAAGCAGTCTTCTCGCGGAGCAGGGAGCCCGATATGGGGCTCGATCCCAGGACCCTGGGATCATGACCTGAGCTGAAGGCAGATGCTTAACGACTGAGTCACCCAGGCGTCCCCAGCCTTACTTTCTAACAGTTGCATTTTATCCTATTGCATGGATGTACCATAACTTATTTAACTAGCCCCCTTGTGATGACATTTAAATCTTTTCCATTCCTTTGCTGTTAGAAACACTGTGGCATTGAGTATCCTTACACATGGGTCTTTTTGTACATGTAAGACTATCTGGAAGATAAATATCTAGGAATGGAATGGGTTAGTCAAAGGGTTTGTGTGTTTGTAATTTTGATGGAAAGTGGCAAATTGCCCTCTCTATAAAGGTTGTGCTCTTTTCCATCCCCCAGCTATGTGTGACAGGGTCTGGGTAGAAAGTTTGAAGACAGTAATTCGAGATTTTTGGAGGGTAGGAGTCACTGATCAGACATATGGTGCCCCATGTTAGATACTTTCCATTTAAAGGAACTCAAAGGAAGATGCTCTCAGATAGTAAGTGGTTTTCATAGTAATGGGAGGCAAGGTGGCTAGGAGCATGGGCTTTATGGTCATATAGACCTTCATTTGAGTCCTGACTCTGTTGCTTAGGTGGGACCTTAGGTAAGTTCCTCAGCCTCTGTCTATTTCCTCATCCCTGAGTGGGGATAATAATACTGTCTGTTGTCTTTTTGCTGAGGATTGCTGTAAAGATTTAATGCCCTTGAAACTGTTGCTGGCACAAGGTGCTTCTTTGTTACTTTGTCACACCATCTCATCTCATCTCTACCACCCCTTTGTTTTGAAAACTACCTGGATTTGTATCTTACCTCTGGCACTCCTTTGTATGATCTTGGGCAAGTTGCCACAGTTGTTTTTTTTTTTTACTTGTAAAATAGGGATAATATTAAGAGTATCTTCTTCTTGGGTTTTTGTGTATTAAATGTATTAATACACTGGAAGTACTTATAGCGTTGCCCTGTATGTGGTATTCAATAAATGTTGGTGATACCTGTTATTCTTTTGCAGACTTTGGGCTTTGATTTAGTGCCATGCATCCTTTGCAGTGTGTCCTGCAAACACAGAGGTGGGGGCCCTTGGCTTCTGTGTCCTGGCTGCTGCTCAGGACCTGCAGGGCACATAGTAATGTCCCCAGCACTGCATGTCCCAGTTTGGAGAGGCAGCAGGAAGATGGAGTTCGGAAGGATTTCAGCTCCAGGCTGGCCAGTGGGCCGACTTTTCAGCATTTTTTAAGAAGTGCTTCAGCTCCTCAAGAGAAGCCGGACATGGAGGACCCACCCCCCTATCTTACAGTGGATGAACTTTTAGGGAGGCAAAGAAAAGGTTGGTTTTACTTTTCTTCTCTCTTCAGACTTCCTGCTTTGTTCCTTTCCAGCATCCACAGCCTGGGTCTTAATTATTCTTTTATTGCAGACCCAGCTTTGGAGGGTTAATAGGGTGGGAAGCCTGCTAGGTTATGGAATTGTCAGACTTCATCAAGTAACATTAATATAAAGAAACTTGTGGGCGCCTGGCTGGCTCAGTCTGTGGAGTGTGCAACTCTTGATCTCAGGGTTGTGAGTTTGAGCCCCATGTTGGGTGTAGAGATTACTTAAAAATAAAATATTAAAAAAAAAAAAGAAACTTGGGGTGCCTGGGTGGCTCAGGCAGTTAAGTGTCTGACTTTGGCTCAGTTCATGACCTCAGGGTCCTGGGATCAAGCCTGGTGTCGGGCTCTTCACTCAGCGGGGAGTTTGCTTCTCCCTCTCCCTCTGCCCCTTCCCCGACTTGTGCATGCTTGCATGCTCTCTCTCTCAAACAAATAAATAAAATCTTAAAAAAAAGAAAGAAACTTGTACTTTTGGTCCATGTGACTAGGGTGGGTAGAAGTCCTGGGGAGTCTTTTCTTTGGTTACCTTTGGAAACCCTATAATCTCTGTTCTAATTTTTAGATCATCTTAAATCATAAGACAGCTTTCACAATTGGTGATGTAGAAATTCGTTCTTTATGCTTAAACAGATTTTTTCCCCTCTTTTTTTTTTTTTTTAAATTTTTTTTAGAGATCTTATTTATTTGTCAGAGAGAGAGAGTGAGAGCGAGTGAGCACAAGCAGGGGGAGTGGCAGGCAGAAGGAGAAGCAGGTTCCCTGCTGAGCAAGGAGCCTGATGGCGTGGGCTTGATGCCAGGACTCCAGGATCATGACCTGAGCCAAAGGCAGACGCTTAACTGACTGAGCCACCCAGGCATCCTCTTTAAAAAAATTTTTTTTTTTTAATATTCTATTTATTTGAAAGAAGGAGAGCACGAGAGAGAGCAGAGAACGCAAGTGTTGAGGGGGAGAGGGGCAGAGGGAGAGGGAGAAGCAGACTCTCCCCTCCTCCTACACTCAGCAGGGAGTCTGATGCGGGGCTCCATCCCAGGCTCCATTCCAGGACCCCGAGACCATGACCTGAGTAGAAGGTGGACACTTAACCTACTGAGCCACCCAGGCACCCCTCTTTCTTTTTTTTTTTAAAAGGTTTATTTATTTATTAGAGTGTATGCATGCTCATGTGAGCTGGTGGAGGGGCAGAGGGAGAGAATTTTTAAGCAGACTCCCTGCTGAGTGTAGAGCCCCTTGCAGGGCTCCATTTCATGACCCTGAAATCATGACCTGAGCCCAAATCAAGAGTTGGGTCGCTTAACCATCTGAGCCACCCAGGTGCCCCTTTGTAATTAAATTTTTTAAAAATTGAGGGTGCCTGGGTGGCTCAGTTGGTTAGCGACTGCCTTCAGCTCAGGTCATGATCCTGGAGTCCCGGGATCGAGTCCCACATCGGGCTCCCTGCTCGGCAGGGAGTCTGCTTCTCCTTCTGACCCTCTTCCCTCTTGTGCTCTCTATTTCTCTCATTCTCTCTCTCTCAAATAAATAAATAAATCTTAAAAAAAAATTGGTATAAAATACTGCATTGTGCTGTACTATGATGTACCTGTCCCCTATAGTTGGACATTAAATTGTTTCAAAAGTTTGTAAGTAATGCTATAATACGTTCCTTCACATATACACACATGCATGTACATAACCACTGAGCTACCCAGGCGCCCCTTGGTGTTATTTTTAGACAAGGAAAGTGAGCCAAGGAAGGTTTAAGAATACCCTGATGTTTCTTTCTTTCTTTTATAAATTACTGCTGTTTTATGTTGGTTTTCATATGATTTTTTGTCATTAACTTTTAACTTCATTTGGACTTTATTTGGGTCTGTTGATTAAAATATGTTGGAGAGGAGTTGATGTAGGAATTTAGTTTCAAAGGGCTTGCCAGAGTATGAAATTGATGTTCTTAAAACCTCATGCAAATGTGTTTTACATCATAATACGTCCATGCTTTCTTTTTTTTTTTTTAAAGATTTTATTTATTAATTGACAGAGAGAGACACACACAGCGAGAGAGGGAACACAAGCAGGGGGAGTGGGGGAGGGAGAAGCAGGCTTCCCGCCGAGCACGGAACCCGATGCGGGGCTCGATCCCAGGACCCTGGGATCATGACCTGAGCCGAAGGCAGTCGCTTAACCAACTGAGCCACCCACTCGACCCTCTTTCTTTTTTTTTAAGAATTTATTTATTTATTTGACAGAGAGAGACACAGCGAGAGAGGGAACAGAATTAGCGGGAGTAGGAGAGGGAGAAGCAGGCTTTCCGCTGAGTGGGGAGCCCTATGTGGGGCTCGATCCCAGGACCCTGGGATCATGACCTGAGCCGGAGGCAGATGCTTAACGACTGAGCCACCCAGGCGCCCCTAACATTTTTTTTTTTTAAGATTTTATTTTTAGGGGCACCTGGGTGGCTCAGTCGGTTAAGCATCTGCCTTCAGCTCAGGTCATGATCCCACGGTCCTGGGATTGAGCTCCACGTTGGGCTCTCTGCTCACAGGGAGTCGGCTTCTCCCTCTCCCTCTGCCTGCCTCTCTGCCTACTTGTGCTCTCTTTCTCTGTCAAATAAATAAATAAAATCTTAAAAAAAAAAAAGATTTTATTTTTAAGTAATCTCTGCGCCCAGCATCGGGCTTGAACTTAAAATCTGGAGATCAAGAGTTGCATGCTCTACCAACTGAGCCAGCTAGGCCCCCCAGGGCTTGCTTTCATTTAATATGTTTGTTTGAAATTACTGTAGGAAGTTACATCATTTTTATTTTATGGCTTTGTGTACCCTCTGGCCACTGCTGCTCCCGTCGGAGGTTGGAGAACCTCTTTGTGACAAGGAGGGGTGTAATGTGTGGATTTAAATTTTCCCCCCAAGTTGATAATCAATACTATCAGCTAGTCCTGCCTTTTCTGATTCTTTTTATAACATATCGCCTTGATTCTCAGGTGCATGTTTCTCCTGTATTTTATTTTATTTGTTTTTTTAAAAATATTTATTTATTTGACAGAGAGAGACACCGCGAGAGAGGGAATGCAAGCAGGGGGAATGGGAGAGGGAGAAGCAGGCTTCCAGCAGAGCGGGGAGCCTGACGCGGGGCTCGATCCCAGGACTCTGGGATCATGACCCGAGCCGAAAGCAGACGTTTAACGACTGAGCCACCCAGGCACTCCCTTATTTGTTTTTTTTTAAAGATTTTATTTATTTGTTTGACAGAGACACAGCGAGAGAGGGAACATAAACAGGGGGAGTGGGAGAGGGAGAAACAGGCTTCCTTTGGAGCAGGGAGCCCGATGCGGGGCTCGATCCTAGGACCCTGGGATCATGACCTGAGCCGAAGGCAAACGCTTAATGACTGAGCCACCCAGGTGCTCCTCTCCTGTTTTTTAAATGATATGGCCTGTAATTATGTATGTGTATAATGTAGTATTTCTTTTGTTCTGAAAGGCTGTCATTAATTTGGGGGTAGACCTGGAGCTTAATGGTGTCTTAGAATTGAAGCAACAGGGGATTTAGTGGATAACCAGTAGCCTCAGATGTTTCTGGGGCATTTGGGAAGGAGACCTTTTGAGACATGTGGCCCCTTTTAGTCAGCCTACTGTGGAATCCCCCTCTCATTGCAGTCTATCTGGAGACCTATGGCTGCCAAATGAATGTGAATGACACAGAGATAGCCTGGTCTATCTTACAGAAGAGTGGCTACTTGCGGACCAGGAACCTCCAAGAGGTACATGCATTTTCTGCTTCTGTTGTTTTCTGAGCCTGGGTGAGACTCTGCATTTGTGCCAGTTTTTAGATGCAGCTTCAGAAATAGGGTATGGCCTGGTGAGAGTGAGTTCCCTTGAGTAAAGTGTGTAGCATGGAACTAAGGTGTATTTTTGTTCCAGTTATTTTTGAAACTTTTATGGTGGTGCTCACTTTTAGGCAAGGAACTAAGTTAAAAATGGGCTGGGAGGTGGAGGGGAATGGGGAGTTAATGTTTAATGGGTACAGAGTTTTAGTTGGGGAACATGAAATGGTTCTGGAGCTTGAGGGTGGCGACGGTTGCACAACAATGTGAATGTACTTAATGCTACTGAACTGTACACTTAAAAATGGTTAAAATGGTAAATTTTATGTATGTTTTACCACAGTATTAAAAAAAGGGCTATGGATAGTGATCCTACAAGGCCGATTTCAAAGATCATAATTTTCCCTTGCTTTCCACTCAGGCTGATGTGATCCTCCTTGTCACATGTTCTATCAGGTGAGAGTTTGTTCTTTACCTAGAAGGTGAATATATTTAATGCCAGAGTTAACAGTGCCAGGCTGGCGGACCTGTGGAGATGAGTCAGTGGACTGGTGATTTTACAACAGCGGAGATAGCAATGATAGAACTTGGTTGATGTTTGCTGAGCATGTGTACTGTGTATCAGGTCCTGTGCTGAGCACTACATATGCACTAACTAATTTAATTCTCACAACAACCGTATGAGTTAGGTGCTATTATCAAACCCGTTTTATAGATGAGGACACCGAGGGTATGCTGAGGCACCCAACTTTTCCCAAGGTTTTTCTTGCAGGTAATGGCACATTTATGATGTAATTCACATCATAAGGGTTAGGGTGCAGTCAGTGCAGAGATGGTGGCATCCGTCAGAAGTGAACATACTATTTCTTACTTTGTTTCTGTGTACAAGGCATATTAGTGTTAATGTTTTCCTTAGTGTTATATAATCCAACATTTTTGTTGGAACATTCAGAAATGAACCCTTCTTCTGTGGAGCATGGCTTTAAGGAGCTTGGTCGGATATGGGAACTAAGGCAGACACACAAATAGCTCTAACATCTGGCAGAAAGCACTATGTAAAAAATCAAACAATAAAAGAGGAGTTGCTAACTACAGGGAAAAGTATAGTTAAAGTGATAGGGCAGTTAAGGGGTGGACAAACTTTCTATGAGGCTTTGTAAAGTAGATTGTTTCTGAGTTTAACTCAAAGGCTTGTCAGGTTTGGACATATGCAGGAAGGGTGAATTACAGCAAGTGGTGCTTCTTCAGTTGGCTCCCTGCCTATCTTCCCTTAACCTAAAAGATAGCTATTCATTTATTTTTTATTTTTTTAAAGATTTTATTTATTTATTTCAGAGAGAGAGAGAATGAGAGATAGAAAGCACGAGAGGGAAGAGGGTCAGAGGGAGAAGCAGACTCCCTGCTGAGCAGGAAGCCCGATGTGGGACTCGATCCCGGGACTCCAGGATCATGACCTGAGCCGAAGGCAGTCGCTTAACCAGCTGAGCCACCCAGGCGCCCAGATAGCTATTCATTTAAAGGGTTGAAATTTGTTTTTATTTCCATTGTCCTACTCTTTTAGCTTGTGCTCCAGTTTATTTTCAGGTTCAGTTCTACCTCTCTTGATCTTTGTAGGGAGAAGGCTGAGCAGACCATCTGGAATCGTTTACATCAGCTTAAAGCCCTGAAGACGAAACGGCTCCGCTCCCGAGTACCTCTGAGGATTGGGATTCTAGGTATCCGGTAATTTGCAGGTTTTGTGTTTTCACACTTGGGAAACCCTTAGAGGCTGGATTCCCAGTGTTTGAAGAATTGTTATACACCTCATATAACTCTTGTATTTGATGTCAGAGGCTGTAGGACTAAATGAGATAAAGCTCATAAAAGGGCTTTTCATAGTGCCTTGTAGTAATAGGTACTCAGAAAGTGGCCTATCCTTTCTAGAGTCTAATGTGGCTTATGGCAGCATAGAGTTATGGATAGGAGAGAGTTTGGAGTCTGAAAGAACAGCACGAATTTATAGCATAGGCACTTTTCATCTTGACTCCTGATGTATGCCCAAGTGAAGATCTAGACCTGCACTGACCAGTATGGTAGCCACTAGTCACATGTGCTTATTTAAATTTAACTAAAATTAGGGACCCCTGGTTGGCTCAGTCGGTGGAGCATGCAACTCTTGATCTCGGGATTGTGAGTTACAGTCTCATGTTGGGTGTAGAGATTACTTAAAAAAAAAAAAAAATCTTAAATAAATTTAAGGGGCACCTGGGTGGCTTAGTCAGTTAAGCGTCTGCCTTCGGCTCAGGTCATGATCCTGGAGTCCTGGGATCGAGCCCTGCACTGGGCTCCCTGCTTAAGCAGGGAGTCTGCTTCTCCCTCTGCCCCTCACCCCACTCATGCTCTCTCTCTCTCACTCTGTCTCTCTCTAAAATAAATAAAATCTTAAAAAAAATAAATTTAAGTAAAATTAAATAATATTAAAAATTCCCTTCTTCATTCTCACTAGCCACCTATTGATTGACTGCTCAGTAGCCACACTTGACTAGTGCCTATCAGTTTGGACAGCACAGATAAAGAACATTTCCATTATCTTAGAAAGTTCTGTTGGACAGCTCTGATCTAGATAGCTGGGAAGCATGTTTCAAAAATGAATATTCTGTACCCTTTTGGTTCCAGAATTTAGTTAATGTATTTAATTAATTTAATTTAATTTAAATTTTTTAAAAAAGATTTATTTATTTATTTTGAGAGAGAGAGAATGAGAGAGAGAGAGAGAGTACATGAGAGCGGGGAGGGTTAGAGGGAGAATCAGGCCCCTCGCCGAGCAGGGAGCCCGATGCGGGACTTGATCCTGGGACTCTAGGATCATGACCTGAGCCGAAGGTAGTTGCTTAACCAGCTGAGCCACCCAGGCGCCCAATGTATTTAATTTTAAAACAGACTGTCCATTGTGGAATAATTAAATTAATTTCTCTTGATGAAGGGTTCAAACATAGTTGGAGCATATCCTGTTATACAGATTAATGTACTAAGTGATGTAGGAGGTTGGAAGGATTAGCTGAAATCTTTCACATCAGTTCCTTCATTATAGAAGCCCCCGGCTATATCTTTGTTAGGAATTTCAGAAATTCCCCCAATACTTTGTTTTTTATTGTGGTAAAATATATATAACATAAAATTTACCATTTGAATCCTTCTTTTTTCTTTAAAGATTTCATTTATTTATTTGAGAGAGAGAGCACGAGTGGTTGAGGGGGGAGAGGGAGAAACAGACTCCTTGCTGGGCATGGGGCTTGATCCTAGGACGCTGAGATCATGACCTGAGCCAACATCAGATGCTTAACCAACTGAGCCACCCCGGCGCCCCTAGACTTTGAGACTCTATAGCCAGTTCCTGAAAAAAAAATTTTTATTTGGAGTACCAAGTAAATTTCAATTGAAAAAAGAGATGGTTCATGTCTAGAAATGTTTCTGGGTGATGGCTTAATTTTTTCTGGGCATTTAATTGAATTTCTTTAGTTGCTTGCTTCCTGTGGTTTTCTTATATAGGAAGATGCAGGTTCTAGTGCTATGGAAGTATTGGGCAAATTTGAGGAGCGATGAAGCTAAACTCTTAGCAAAGTTTCTGTGCCCTTGTCTCTGACCTTAGCTAGAGGTGATGTGTACTGAGAAGTAGCCATGAGACCAGATGAAATCTGGGAACAGGTGCTTATTTTTTTTCCTTCCCAGGCTGCATGGCTGAGAGATTAAAGGAGGAGATTCTCAACAGGGAGAAAATGGTGGATATTTTGGCTGGTCCAGATGCCTATCGGGACCTTCCTCGCCTGCTGGCTGTTGCTGAGTCAGGCCAACAAGCTGCCAATGTGCTGCTCTCTCTGGATGAGACCTATGCTGACGTCATGCCAGTCCAGACAAGCCCCAGTGCTACTTCTGCCTTCGTGTGAGACACTACCCAAGAGACGAGTGAATTTCTCCTTTCTCACTTTTATTTATTTATTTTGGGGGGGGCTGTAGAGAGAAAGAGAGAGTGCACATGCATTAGCTGGGGGTTGGGGTGGGGGCTGGGGGTGGGGAGGGACAGGGTAGAGAGTCTTAAGCAGACTCTGCGCCGAGCCCGACAAGGGCTTGATCTCACAACCCTGAGATCACGACCTGAGCTGAAACCAAGAATTGGACGCCCAACAGACTGTGCCATCCAGGCGCTCCTTCTTTCTCACTTTTAAAATAATGTTAAGGGCAGGGACACCTGGGTGGCCCAGTTGGTTAAGCATCTGCCTTCGGGTCAGGTCATGATCCCAGGACTCTGAAGGTAGACGCTTAACCAACTGGGCCACCTAGGCGCCCCTATTTATTCCTTTTAGAGAGAGAGAGAGAGAGGGAGCGAGAGAACAGCAGGGAGGGGTGGAGGGAGACGGGAGAGAGAATCCCAAGCAGACTCCACGTGGAGCTCAGAGCCTGACTGGGGCTTGATCCCAGGACCCTGAGATCATGACCTGGGCTGAAATCAAGAGTCAGATGCCTGACTATGCCACCCAGGCTTCCCAATTTATTTGGTTTTATGGTTAAATGGTGAACATTTCTTATGTTATTAAATTTTCTATAACAGAGGTTGGCAAATTGGCAAAAAAAAGTTAGAGCATGTTTTTTGTAAATAAAGTTCTGTTGAAATACAGCCATGCCCATTTGTTTATATATTATCTGTGGCTGCATTTGGTACTACAATAGCCAAAATTGTATAGCTGTGACAGGGACTGTATGGTCTGCAAAGCCTAAAAATTTTTCTATCTGGTTTTTTATAGAAAGTTTGCCAACCTGTCATTTTAATGGCTATCCCATACTCTGTTGTTGGAATGCTTAATAAAAATAATAGCTAACATTTATTTAACAGTTCTTCAATGAACATCTTTGATACGTATTCAAAATTATTTCTTTAAGATAATTTGAGGATTTCATATACAGGATGCAAATGGAAGAGAGTGATTTCACTTAGATACCATAATAATTGGATCAGGAATGAGTGAGAAATATGGAACCCTCTGTCTTAAATCTGAGGTTTCTTTTTTTTTTCCTTTTTTATTGTTATGTTAATCACCATACATTACATCATTAGTTTTGGATGTAGTGTTCCATGTTTCATTGTTTGTGCATAACACCCAGTGCTCCACGCAGAACGTGCCCTCTTTAATACCCATCACCAGGCTAACCCATC